ACGAGAGGTGGGCATGAGTTAAGTAGGTAGGTAGGTGGGTGGATAGCAATATGTATTTATGGAAACATTTGATTTCTGGTCAGAGGACCATGGAAGCCCAAGGAGAAAATGGCTCATCTTGTGTGGACACAGGAAGGACTTTTTTGAGAGATGTAGCCAGCCGAGCCGTGAAGAAACAGGAGTTTGACAGGAATGCAGCATGGGTCAAGTTAGAGAGAAAGGGAGAGGGAGATTGGCCATGGGGGAACTTGCATTGTGGCAGCCTAAGATGAGACACAGGGATGTGAAGAAGGGAAGGCGAGGGTACAGGAGTCAGGCAGGGCTAAGTCTACAGAACCGGGTAGCTTGAGTTGAGACATTCACCCACGGCATTGCCTCTGACCTGTTAGATCAGGGCTCCCAGACTCGCCTTTGTGCAGAGACCTCTGTCGGACAAGCTGGCAACAGCCCAGGGGAGACAAGGGAGAGGGGCCTGTGTGAATGGAAACGGCTGGCCAGTGCTGGGCTGAGGCAGAAAGCCGAGCGTGGGGGAGTCATTGGAGATAAAACAGGACAACACTGCAGCTGTTTTATGTGCTTAGCTCCAGAACTTTCTATTAGCTGTCTACATTTCTACTCGAACAGAAAAAGACAATTCAAATACATGTTTTTTCTTTCCAAATTAAGTGCTGCTCCATGGAGCAAGGTGTTTGCTTTCAGTTATTTATTTGATATTCTTAGGAAATACAACAAAGGACAGTGAAGTGTTAGCAGGGAAGACAGTGGCCGGTATGTGTAGTGACGGTTGCCCAGTTCTGTGGATCCCAGACATACGGTTAGTTGAGGTCGCCTGGCGCCACCCACAGTCTGGTAAAAGGCAGGTAAGGACTTCTTTCAGCCCCCGCCCTGGCCGTCAGGAGGTGAGGCACCGTGGTTTCTAGGCTATGGCTCTAGAATGGTCATGGGAGAGAACTCACAGAGCTGATAACTAGAGTGATGAGGAACCCGGTCACCAGGCCCTGTGTCAGCAGAGAAGGAGCCTGCAGCTCCTGTGTCAGGAGACTGCGGGGGCCAGGAAGCAGGTTCCTCCGCCTGAGACTGGCCGAAGGACCCTCTGCCTTCTGCTTCTCTATCCAGCCTCCAGAAAGTCATCTACATGCAGTTTGACCGCAGAATCAGCGACTCTATACACAGCAAATCATTACAGTAACACTAGCTTCCAGCAACTTCAGCAAACTCTGGTCTGCTTACTTAGAAACAGAAAACAAGTGTTACCACTTCAAGTACCAGCTGCATGGTGGCCACTCAGTTCATGAGACTATAAAAGAAAACTCCCACGGCGATACTTCAGAGTCCTTCTCCCCTCTCCTCTGCTGATGCTCCAGTCTTTCACCCTGAGACTTTATGAAACAGTTTTTATCCTTGCAGTTGAGACCTTTGGAGGCATAGAAGAATTCGGCTGGCCAGCCTCATGGAGTCAGCAAGTGGTGACACGGGCGCCCGAGCTAGAGTCAGTCTCCAGAAGTCCAGGTGCTTTTTAATGCATCGAGAGCCCCCACAGCCCCACTGCCCAAGGTTGGCTTTGCAGTTGTGAAGGTTGGGAGCTTGTCAGAACCATCACAAAATCTCCCTCCTGTTTGGATCAAGCCCAGAGCAGAGTAGAATAAGCCTGCCACCTGCAGGGCACAGGGGCCTGCATCCCGTTCCCACACTCATTCCGGCAGCCAGCTCCCCGCCCTCTGGGAGGAGAGGCTGAGTCCCACACTCAGAAGGCAAGGACCCACCAGCCAAACACCAGAACAGGAAGTCTTATCAGCACAGAAATGAACATGAGGAAGGAGACATTGGCCTAGGATTTCCTACCCCCACACAAAAAATACGCAGGTATATATTTTGCATCTGAGGTCCTTTTGGGTGTGACTTATAAAGATAACTTGTACTCATTTGCCTGTTTTTGAATAAAGGAGAGTCGTGCTCTGATACTCTGCTGGCATATAAATTAAAGATAGGGCAGTATCTCATTGAAATTCTGAAGATGTGCAGATCCTACCCTAGGATTTCTCTCATCAAAAGGTTTTACTTGTGGTGCCAGTACTGACTTATTAATAAAGATCGTGCCTTTGATTATTTTTCTAATCAAGATTCACCGTCAGTTTAAGCTCATTAATTCTGCTGGTAATGGTGTGTACTGGAGGTGGACTTGCACCTGCGTGAGAGAGAGGCAGGATCCAGGCTCCAACCCCAGGACACAGAAGAGCACCAGGAAGCTGAGCTTGTGAACAGTCTGCCAGTCAAGGAGAAAGGGCACGTGGTCCAGAGGTTGACGCTGTTGAGTAAGTGCTGAACGTTATAATTAAAGACACTTGCTAACAGAGGAATGGAAATGACAAGCATTCTCATTCTTCACAAGACCAGAGCCATTGTTTTCTAGGCACTGTGCCGGGCAGCTCTTCTTTGGTGCTTCTGAAACCTCGGCATCAGATCCAGGGTGCCGATGCTGAACGTGCCTGGGCCTGACTCCCACGGACTGCATTTAACTTTTTGTTGCTCCACTCACTGGTTCTGAAGTAACTGTGATACAAACCAGTCCTGTAGCATCTCTCCTGGATTGTCCAAAAAGAGACAGTTAAGTTCCTCCTACCTTGTGGGTGTTCAGCACTGCATCATGGACAAACCCTCTTCTTCGCAGCCTCTTGCCCCTAAGTAGGAGATTCCAGAGCCTGTTATGACCACCGTGCCATGTTGAAAGTAGACGTGACAGCAGGCTATGCCAGTGGCTGAGGCCAGGGCGTCACCTTGAGACCCAGCAACGCAGATATGGCATTGCAACGGATTATTTATCCAGGTGGATAAGAGATAAGAGAAATGGCAGCTACGAGCACCCAAGTTTGGAGCCTCAGTCCCCGGATTCTCACTTAGAAAACAGGCCAGACCCCAGCAGCAGAGAGGAAAAATGATTCCTGGTGTAAGCCGCAGCCTTGTTAAGAACAAGCTGTCAGGGCAGCCTTCCCTCCCCCCGGGCTCACTGGGTGCTGTGTGCAGGCCCTGTGATCTGCGGGGCTGTAAAAGGTGGCCTTGGTGTTTGATGAGCTTACGGTGTGCACACTTGGGTGGGCGGGAAATGCAGACGAAGTTGAATGCCTCATTCATTCATGCCATGCGCACTGTGTGCCAGGCACTGGGCTGGTGCTGGAGCTGAACCCATGAGCAGAAGGGAAGGAGACAATGGGAACACTGCCCACCCAATGCCATCGGGTGGAGAGGCAGCGGGGAGGGGAGAGGAGGAGTGGAGCGGCAGAGGGGAGAGGAGTGGAGGGGAGAGGAGGAGTGGAGAGGCAGCGGGAGGGGAGGAGTGGCAGGGGGAGGGGAGAGGAGGAGTGGAGCGGCAGGGGGCAGGGGAGAGGAGGAGTGGAGAGGCAGGGGGGAGGGGAGGAGTGGAGGGGAAAGGAGGAGTGGAGAGGCAGGGGGGAGGGGAGAGGAGGAGTGGAGAGGCAGGGGGGAGGGGAGAGGAGGAGTGGAGAGGCAGGGGGGAGGGGAGAGGAGTAGTAGAGAGGCAGTGGGGAGGGGAGGAGTGGCAGGGGGGAGGGGAGAGGAGGAGTGGCAGGGGGGAGGGGAGGAGGGGGAGAGGAGTGGAGAGGCAGGGGAAAGGGAGGAGGAGTGGAGAGGTGGGGGCAGGGGAGAGGAGGAGTGGAGCGGCAGGGGGGAGGGGAGAGGAGGAGTGGCAGGAGCACTGCTGGGTTGAGTCCCAGCGAGTGATACGTGGCGAACGCTTGGCATCCGAGTATGGCCTAGCTCTGAACACGCCGCCAGTGCGGGCCCTGAGCCTCCTGTACAGTGCTCTCCAGGGCCGTCTCCGTGAGAGAGCTGGGCGCGCCACGCAGGTGCTGTACGGACCTCTCAGTGGGCCGTTGCAGCCCAGGCAGTGACGGGCTCAGGTACCGCGGGGTCGTGGGTGAGGGGCGTGTCGCCGCAGCCCGGCAGCCACCCCTGCCGGTGGGCAAAGAACGAACACTGGCCTGAAGGCCTGCTGTGCAGAGCCTGATGCAGTGGTGCAGGAGAGCCTGAAGGGTTACGCTTAAAGTTGAAGATCTGTGAGTGTTATTTCTGTTACTTGTTAGCATTGCTAGAATCATAGAAACATTCTGGATCATAGTTGCATTTCTTAAGATGCTTTTTATTCTGCTTATTTGAATACATGCCCTTTGCCTCATTCGTTTTTGGAGCACAGGATAAAGGCCTGGAAGATATTTTCAAACTCAGTCTCACTTGGCACATTACCTTGCCTATAGAGGCCATTAATGACTGTGGGTTGAATGAGCTGCATCATCCAACATGAAGAATGTCCTAGGCACTTGAGTTAGGGCCCCCCTGGAACTACAAACTTGAGATGTACCAAAAAAACACCCTTTCCTAACTGGGAAATGTTCACACAACTAAAGAAAGGCGAGACTGGCCTGCACTGAATCAGGATGGGAAAGATCAGCCCCATAGACCAGGTGAGGCTGACGCCCCAGACAGATGACCCTCACATCCAAACCTGATGTTCTTGTGAAAAGGACACTCATAGCCAGGCACCAGTGGCTCATGCCTGTCATCCTAGCTCCTCAGGAGGCTGAGATCTGAGGATCGTGGTTCGAAGCTAACCCGGGCAGGAAAAGTCGGTGAGACTTCTGTCTCCATTAAACCACTCAAAACAGGAAGTGGTGCTGTGGCTCAAGTGGTAGAGCACTAGCTTTGAGCACAAAGAGGCTCAGGGACAGTGCCCAGGCCCTGAGCTTAAGCCCCACAACCAACATTGGATATTGTAGAATCTACGTGGAATCAGTCTCATGCATAAACACAGAAAGCATTGTGAACTATGGCACTGAACTTGGCTGTGACCACATAGAAGACATGAAATTATCTTAAAAGTAGATGAGAAAGAGCAAAGTCAGGGCCCACAAAACTACAGTCACAGCTAGGCCACAAGGAGTGGTGTCAGTATCTCCTAATCACCTCCTTCCTTGGTTGCTTCTCCCCAGGTGGAATTGGCTGCCTGGGCCGTGACCGGGGCCAGGTTCGAAAGTGCCTTGAGGTGGTGGAGATCTACAACCCCGACGGGGGCTTCTGGCGAGAGGGCCCCTCCATGCCAACTCCCCTCCTCTCCCTCCGAACCAACTCCACCAACGCGGGAGCAGTGGACGGGAAGCTCTATGTCTGTGGGGGCTTCCATGGAGCAGGTACTGGGCCAGTCTTAAATGGTTTGTGACCTCTTTGGCATTGATCTTGACTTCCCTTAGCCAACTTAGCCGGCCTGATTAGTAGGGCATCACTTTTAGAGCCCAGTGACTTTGGGCAGAGCAATCGCGTCCCCAGCCATCCTGCGCACTCAGTGGGTTTGAGTTGATGATGCTTCTGGCCCACAGACGCATAGCAATTGAATATGGAGAAGAGAAACCAGAGAAGTCGCAGGAGTGAGGAGAGACTTCAAAGTGGCAGGCACAGGCGCCCGCGGGAGAGCCAGACAGGCACAGGCGCCCGCGGGAGAGCCAGACAGGCACAGGCGCCCGCGGGAGAGCCAGACAGGCACAGGCGCCCGCGGGAGAGCCAGACAGGCACAGGCGCCCGCGGGAGAGCCAGACAGGCACAGGCGCCCGCGGGAGAGCCAGACAGGCACAGGCGCCCGCGGGAGAGCCAGACAGGCACAGGCGCCCGCGGGAGAGCCAGACAGGCACAGGCGCCCGCGGGAGAGCCAGACAGGCACAGGCGCCTGTGGGAGAGCCAGACTCACTGAGGCCTGTTGCTCTTTATCAACCCATTCCACACTCTTTCTTTTTTCTTTTTCTTTTATTTATTTATTTTGCCAGACCTGGGGCTTGAACTCACGGCCTGGACGCTGTCCCTGAGCTGCCTTTCTCAAGGCTAGTGCTCTACCACTTGAGCCTCAGCGCCACTTCTGGCTTTTTCCGTGTATGTGGTGCTGAGGAATCAAACCCCGAGCTTTACGCATGCTAGGCAAGCGCTCTGTCACTGAACCACATTCCCAGCCCTTATTAAGACAGTTTTAAAAAGTCCTTTTGGGAAAGCTCCCTAAGAACAGACAGAATGAAAAAGCAAAGCTTTTTTTTTTTATCACAGGAACTTTTTAAGCACATAGTAGTAAAATAGTAAAAGTGTTAACTACCCATCATCCAGCCTCAGCAATTACAAATATTTACCAATCTTAAAAATCTATTCTTAGCCAGGCACCAGTAGATCACACCTGTCATCCTAGCCACTCAGGAGGCTGAGGTCTGAGGATATGGTTCAAAGCCAGTCCAGGTAGGAAAGTCCATGAGACTCATCTCCAATTAACCACCAGAACACTGGAAGTGGCGCTGTGGCTCAAGTGGTAGAGCGCTCACCTTGAGCTGAAGAGCTGAGGGACAGCGCCCAGGCCCAGAGTTCAAGCCTCATGACTGACCAAAAAAAAAAAAAAAAAAAAGATGAAAAGTGAAAGAAAAATCAAGCCCAGGAGGTCCAACATTTGAATAAGAGGAGGCCTTTGAAAAAAGAACATAGATATACAAATCAGTGCCAGGAGAGTCAGCCAGAATGGAGAGAAAATACACAAATAAGGGATAATTCTCTTTAAAAGAAAACTTGTAAACTTATTGGTCCTTAAATTGTGTAGGTGTGTAACCAGTAAATACAAACTAATTTTAAATGTACAGGTATAATACATTAATAGAGGAATTACAGGGGAGTATTAAGGATATTAGCAGGTCTGTCTGTCTGGTGGAGACAGCTCTCGGTGCTGTCAGTGGATCTCGTGCGTCTTGTGAGCTGGGACACTGGCTGCCTCTGGTGTGGACCATCTTCTAAAGCACCTTTGTAAAGCAGACACCCTAGAAGATGTAGAACTTCCCTCTAAAGCAAAGGGCCTGTTGGGAAAGACTCGGGTCTCCTGGCTCAGGGCACTTTCCAGTCCTACAACCCTGGCCGCACTGCACAGTCGGCACTCCTCGGGTCTCCCCATGAGAGCAGGGCCGGAGATCCGGGGCGCCACGGCCGCCAGCTGGGCACGTCTTCAGCCTCACCCGTGACACAGAGCCTCCATCTTCCCTCAGCACCCACGAGACTGTGGCTCGGTTCTCGACCCTTCACAGTTCTTGAGGGAGCCTAGGACTTGGCCTCAGTCTTTGCTCTCCAACAGGCTGAGGAACCCAGTGCTGTATTCCAAAATGGTCAGAACTCATGGCATCAAGCTTTTACAGATTCCAATGAAATACAGACGAGGGATAACTTCTCAACTTACTCTATGAGGCCAGGGTTAGCCTGATACTAAAACTAGACTGAGATACTGAAGAAAAGAAAGATAAATACCTTTGAGAATATAAATGCAAAGTCTTCGCTCAAATACCAGCAAACAATCCAACAGCACTCAAGAAATTCATACATCAAGACAAATCAGGATTTATCCCAAAAATGCAAGGTCGACTTGTCCACTGAAAATTAAATCAATGCCATACATTATATTAACAAAGAAAAGGACAAAATCCAACAGTCATATTAATAGATGCAAAGAAAGGACTTGACACAATCCATCACTTCATAATATAAATACTCAGCACAAAAGAAATAGAGGATGGCTTTCTGAACCTGACAGGGTATCTGTGAGATCTACAGCTAACATCAGGTTTAGTGACGAAAGACCGAAAGATTCACCCTGAAGGCTTAGGAACAAGACAAATTATATACTTTTGTCACTTCAGCATTGTTCTCAAGTTCTATTCATGGCAATTAAAAAAGAAAAAGAAATTACAAGGTATTCAGGTCGGAAAGTAATAAGTAATTACCCATGACATGATCTTGTAGTTAGGAAATCCTAAGAAATTACAAAAAAAAAAAAAAAGCTATTAAAGCTAATGAACAAATTCATCAAGGTTGTAGAACATAAGACTCATATACCAAAAAAAGAAAAGTATTTTCATATTCTTATAATGAACAATCCAAAATGAAATTAAGAAGACAATCTAGAGTATCATCAAAAAGAATAAAATACATAGAATATGCTAAATAAATTTAACAACCAGGTAAAGACTTATATTCTAAACTAACAAACCAAAAATAAAAAATAGCCAATGGCTCACACCCGTAACCCTAGCTATTCAGGAGGCTGAGATCTGAGGATTGCCGTTCAAAGCCAGCCTATCAGGAAAGTCCATGAGATTCTTATCTCCAATAAACTCCTCAGAGAAAGCCAGAAGTACTGTTGTGACTGAAGTGGTAGAGGGCTAGCATTGAGCAAAAAGAAGCTCAGGGACAGAGCCCAGGCCCAGAGTTTAAGCCCCAGGACCGACAAAACAAAAACAAAAAAAAAAAAGGCCTGGGAGCTGTTCCTGAGTTCAAGCACCAGGGCTAGCAGAAGAAAAAGAGAGAGACCTGAACATACATTTTCCCAATGCACATAAAGAAAAGGCCAAGTGGGCTGGGAAGGTGGCTCAGTGGTAGAGCGCTTGCCTTGCATGCCTGAGGCCCTGGGTTTGATTCCTCAGCACCACATAAGCAAAAAGAAAAAAGCCGGAAGTGGCGCTGTGGCTCAAGTGGTAGAGCACTAGCCTTGAGCTGAAGAGCTGAGGGACAGCGCCCCGGCCCAGAGTTCAGGCCCCATGACCGGACCCAAAAAAAAGAAAAAGAAATGGCCAAGTGCTCAACGTAGTCAGCTGTTCAGGAAACAGTCAAAACCACTGTGAGAGAGTTCTTCCTACCCTGGGGGAGCCGACGCGAAGCTGGAGAGCAGGAAGTGTCAACCAAGTGGAGAACCCGCCCCTTCCTGTGCTGGTGGCCACCCACCGCAGCTGCGCATCTGCTGAGAAAAGCAGTCTGGAGCTGGCCTGCGCACTGGTGCAAGTGTGTTCTGTCTCATGCGCATGCTCTCACCTCAGCCACATGCACACGGTGGGAGGTTCTTGGGCAAGAAAAAGGAAGGACTTGCCGCCGTGTGAACAAGCCGTGGGGAGACGATCTGAGGGGGACGGCTCATCTTCGTGCTGGCCTGAAGTGTCCACACACGGCAAACGCAGGCACACGCGGTGGACCGGGGACGGCGGGGAGCAGGGAAAGCGGGGAGGTGTCACCTGTTCTTGCTGCAGCATTTATTGAGGGGTGATTTGATAATATTTGGAAATTAGGTGGACACGGGGGCCTCACATCTTTGTGACTCTTTGCTGAAAGCTGCTGGGTTATATAGGCTTTAAAAGGTAACATGGTGTATACGTTATACATCAATAATGCTGTTTTTCAAAGAGAGGGTCGTGCCCCTCCCTCTGCTCCCTGGCTGTGGGCTGCCACCGTGAGAATTCAGCCGAGCTGTCCGCTGGAGGCCGGTATTTGCCTGGAAGAGGCAGAAACAGCTCAGGCCAAGTCCTGGGCCTCTCAAGAGAGAAGAGCAGGGGCTGAGGACGCCTAGCGGCAGGAGCTTGTTACTCCCGCTCTGAGAACCCAGCAAGAGTCCTGTGACCAGGGCAAGCCAGGGCGTGGGCCCTGGGCATCCTGGCCATCCCACAGTGGACTGAGCACAGAGCTTCCCGCCAGGCCCCCCCAGCGCCGGCACCAACTCAGGAAGAGCATCAGCCCCCACCTGCTCCATCCGCTGCATCTTCCCCCAGCTCCAGGTTTTGTTCTGTCCCCTAGCTCTCCCACAGCACCGCAGCCTGGCAGTGCACTGGCCCGTGTGCCCTCCGCGGGCCAGCCGGGGGCACAGGGCCTGCTGGACACCCAGCCCCACGCTGGCGGGCCAGCTGGCCTTGGCTGCAGACAAGAGGCTCCCCCCGGAGTCTGCACACAGACCTCTCTGTGTTCAACCCCCGCCATTTTCATCGGCAGCCCTGGCCACACCCAGGACTGGCCGCCCATGGCCGCCATTCAGCAGCACTTCCACCAGCCCAGCCCACATCCACTCTTCGTGGCTAAAGGGGCCGTCACCAGCCAAGTTCAGAAGAATTGAATATGAGAAATCATAACCGTGAAGAGCGGCGGTGTGATCCTAGCGACATGGGAGCGCCCAAGGAGGGTTGAGGTTCCAGGCCAGCCTGGGCAAGAAGTTCGTAAGATTCCACCGCAGCCAGCAGAAATCTGGGGGCTCCTGGCACCCCAGATACGAGGGAAGCATTCATGTGAGGATCATTATCCTAGGCCAAAGAAAAATCTTACTCTGAAAATGTTTTCTACCATCAAAAGAGCAGCTCAGACCAGAGCA